GCAGGGTCCTGGCCGCCCCCAGTGCCCCCAGTCATCTCCCTCTCCCCCCCAGGTTGGTGCAACCTTCCCAGCAACCACTCCCTGCCACACGTGCACCTGCCTGTCCACGGACTCCCAGGAGCCCACCGTGCAGTGTGAGGAGGACCCCTGCAACGAAACCTGTCCCCCGGTGAGCCTGCCCCGGTGGACAGACCCTGGGGAGCCCAGCCCCACCGCCTGCGGCTTCGTCAGCGGACCTGACCCAGGGCGGTCTCCAGCCCAGCGTTGGCCGCTGCCCCCAGAGGGAGGTTGCAGAGCAGGAAGGTGGTGGGCGAGGGGCAGGCGGGGCTGGAAGGTTCCAGGCAGGCACGCAGAGGGTAGGGGCCAGAAGCAGGGGTGAGGCTGCGGCAGGACAAGGCACCCCGGCCTCAGAGCAGGGCCTGGACAAGCATCTCCCCTACCCCCTGGGCCATGGCGGGAGCAAACTGCAGCGTGTGGGGCGGCTGATGGGGCTGCCGGGCCCTTGGGGTGTGGAGGGGCAGGAGGGTGGAGGGGCTGGGGTGCAGACATAACCACCCTCTGGCCCAGGGTTCCGAGTACCTGGCGGTGGCTGGGCAGTGCTGCGGGGAGTGCGTGCAGAGGGCCTGCCCCACGCCGGACGGCGGGCTGGTCCAGGTAAGCGGCGGTCTCAGCCCTCCCCCCGGCGGCAGCCCCCCTCCAGGCTCCCGGGCCTGAGAGAATCCCACGCTCCCTCCCCCCTGCCTTTCAGCCCAACGAGACCCGGGTCAACAGCCTGGACAACTGCACCGAGTACCTCTGCCAGGACGAGCGCGGGGTCCCCGTGCTGACCCTCAGGCCGTTGCCCTGCCCGGACGTGTCCAGCTGCAAGGTGTGTGTCTCCGGGGAACTGGCCAGACTGGTGGCCTCCTGGTCTGGCTCAGGAGGCCCCGCCCACACCCTCCCAGAGGCCTGTCAGGCTCTCCGACGAGGCCCCGCCCATTCCCTCCTGAGGCCCCGCCCACACCCACTCCCGAAGCCCCGCCCACACGCATCCCAGAGGCCCGCCACGCCCTCCGACGAGGCCCCGCCCACACCCCTCCCAGAGGCCTGCCACGCCCTCCGGAGAGGCCCCGCCCACACTCTCCCGGAGCCCCGCCCACAGCCCTCCCAGAGGCCCGCCGCGCCCTCCGGTGAAGCCCCGCCCAGCTCTCCCTCTGTCCCCCCGCAGGGCATCCTCCGGAAAACCGGCTGCTGCCTCTCCTGCGAGGAAGTGGGTAAGTCAGGGCGCCTCCCGCCCCGCCCTCCAGCTCCCTCCGCCTCTGCCCCCGGCTCCTGCCCTGACCGCTGGACTCACATCCTGAGCGGGAGGGACCAGGGAGGGAGCGGCCGGTCTGGGTCCTCGGGGACCCCCACCCCTGCCTTTCCTCCGCGCAGACTCCTGCCAGCCCCGCGTCAACCGGACGGTGCTGCGGCTCCAGGGCTGCGAGGCCCCCGTCAACCTCACCTTCTGCGGGGGCTCCTGCCCCGGAGAGTCCTGGTGAGTGTCCCCCACCCCAGCCGCCTCCAGCAGAGCCCGCCCGGCACACATCCCCTCCAGTGCCCGGGGCCTGGCCTGGGCTCGCCGCCCTGAGGAGGCCCAGAGGCGCCCGTCTCCACATCCGTCCGCACAAGCCTGAGGCCTCCGGTCGCAGAGCCAGGCGCTGCGTCCGGGCGCCGGGGGGCCGTGTCCACATGGGGGTGGGCAGGCGCAGGGTCTTCCCGGGGCCAGGCTCAGGGCGGAGCTGCTGGGGGAGCCGAGAGGTGGGGAGCAGGGTCCAGGGCAGGGTCCTGGAGGAGGGGCCGGTGGGTCAGCAAGTTTGAGGAGCTGGTTCCCGGAGGAAAGGGTGCCTGGCAGAGAGGTAGGGTTCAGTGACCCTGAGCACCCGCAGAGCCACCCCGGCGTGGCTGCCGAAGCCCGTCCTCAGACAGGCACAGGGCTGCCAGCGGGGGCGCCGTCTCAGGGCCGTGTGCCCGCAGGTACTCCCCCGAGGCCCGGGCCATGCAGCGCCGCTGCACCTGCTGCCAGGAGACCAGGGCCCACGAGGAGGTGGTGACCCTGCAGTGCCCCGACGGGACGGCCGTCCAGCACACCTACACCCACATCGACGAGTGCAGGTGCGACCTGGCCTGCGTGCCCCCGCCGCCCGCTCCCCAGCAAAGCCAGGGAGGCTTCATTGCCTGACCCCAGCAGCCCCCGTGGAGCACGGACTCCTGCGGCCCCTCCACAGCAGACCCCCACCGACAGCGGTCCCCAAGGCCTGCCGCCTCCAGGAGCCGCATCAGGGGTGCTGCCTGCCCATGTGTGGACCTGGGGCCGAGGCTGATGGCTAGAGGGGAAGGGAGGGGTCAGAGCCCTGAAGCGCCCTCTGCCCTCCAGCCCCAAGTTTGCAAATAAAAGCTGAGCATCATGTACACAACCTGGTCCTGACATCACTCCCGCCGTCCTGTGGCTGGGCTGCCGGGGCCCCACGGGCTGCACCCTGCCCCCCCCCCTCCGGGGCTTGTGCTGGACCCGCTGGGAGGGACGGGGGTGTGGAGGCCAGGGGAGTCTGGGGGGGCCCTGGCAGGAGCCAAGGTGGGCCAAGGGCTCAGAAACACCCTCATGTCACTCCAAATGCACGGCGTTAGTTATGAAAGGGGCATAGATCGAGGCTAACGGGGCCAGCTAACGGGGCGCGAGCAGCACAGTCCCACTGTCCCTTCAGGGCACCAGTCACGTGTCAACCCGTTTCTTCCTCCCCGCGTGTCCAGAGCTGTGAGCACACTGCATGTGCGTGGGGGGAGGAGCAACTGCCCGTCTGTGCGCCCAGGATGCAGAGGGCGTCCTGGCGGCGGGCCTGACCCTCGCAGGAAGGACCAGAGATGACCTCCATGTGGGCAGGCCAGTTCCGGGCGGCCGGCCACCTGGGAGGCAGGAGGGTGGTGGACGGTCCCCCCCGGGCCCAGCCACATCACACGACCTGCCAGGCAGGCAGGCGGTCACGGTCAGAGCCAGGAGCGCGCACACCGACCTGGCCAGCATCAACCGCTGGGCCTCCCGCAGCTCACCAAAGCCGGCCCGTGTGATGCTGGGGTCACGTGAGCTGGCCACTCTTTGACCGTCCACTCAGTCCAGGGCTAGTTCACTGCAGCGCGTCTGTTAGGTGCAAACTTAAAGAAGACTCGGAAACACACATGTAAACTTCCCTGAAGGACTTTAATTCTCTATCTTCATATAGATCATTTATTAAATTAGAAGGCTGAAAAGTAAAAATATACTTTACAATCAAAGAAAATCTGGACACTGGACCCAGGAGAATGACAGAAGCACAGGCTCCAAGACGCACTTGCACCCGCACGGGCGGGCGGGCGGGCGGGCGAGAGGGGTGGTGAAGGGCCTTCAGGAGACTCGGCGGCCCAGCCTCGCCCCACCCCCCGCCGGCTGAGGCCAGAGAAAGCATCTGCAGGCGCCTGGCCTGGTCTCCTCATGCCGCTCTGCCCTGTGGGTGCAGGCGGCACGCGGCACAGGCCGGGCAGCTGTGGAGGCGTCTGCTCAGCACGGCTGGCCTGTGACACGGGGCTCGGTGGTGACAAACAGCGCGCACGAGAAACAGAAGCGGGGATGTGGCAGTGCCGTCACCCTAAAAACTATGCGCCCGCACACAGCCGAGCGCTCCCAGGTCCCACAAGCCTCCCTGGAGGGTGGGGGGCCGCCAGGCCGCTCAGGCCACCACTCAAACCCCAGGGCCCGCAGGCCTGCCCAACGCTCTCCTCGCTGAGGAGTCGGCTTCCGAGGCACAAGCCAGCTGCTGGCACGGGACACGGGCATGATGACGGGGCCACGCTCGCCAACCAAGTGGTCCGAGCACCGTGCCCTGGCCGCCCCGCACACACCCTGCAGGCTCCCAGGACGGGCGTCTCCGGAGCAGCCGCACGTTGGAGGGAAGAGCCAAATAGTCTCCTCTGACTCAGCCGCCAGCTCCGCGCTGCCAGGATGGCCGCCCGAGTCAGGAGAGCGGAGGTGCAGGGCCAGGCTGTGGCCGAGGGACGCTGACTGCAGCTGGCCGCACACGTCCCGTGCGGGGTGGGCTTAAAGGGCGCCATTTCTGAGGAGCTCCTCGTTTCACCAGGTGCCACCCACCCTGTCCCCACGCCGAGTCCGTGGCCAGCGCCGGGCCAGGGTGCAGCTCGCACGTGGGCACGTGGGCTCTGGGGGACTTTGGCACTGTCTCCACCCTCCACACGGCCCCCGCCCCGCCCAGTGCTCACGGAGATGAGTGTCAGTGGAGCCAGCAGTCCCAGCACCCTCCCTCCCATTAGCAAAGCACTAGGTGTGTTACTTGTTGCCCCGAGTTCAGGTTCTGGTGCGAGAGCCGATCAAGGACAGGAAGCTGCCCCTCGGCCTGACATTCCCCAGAGCTGACGGACAGCAGACAGAGACCAGGGATCCTCTGAGCTAGAACAGCCCCACTCCGGCCACCGCGGGGGCTGTGACGGGGGCTGGCGGGATGGACAGGCAGGTGGACACCGTGGCTGAGCCTGGCCAAGCCACACTGGCCCTGGCCACAGGGGGTGGCCAGGCCCAGGGAGACATGGAGGGAGGGACGGGAGTTTTCAGTTGGCAAGTTCTAAACCCCAAAGCAGCTGTCAGTGGACTGCGAACCTAAGTGAGTAGCAGGTCTATCCCCGTAAGTGGTGGGACTACGGCCAGGGACCAAACCAGAAGGGCGCTCGGGAGCAGCTCAGAGCACTTGAGGGCGCGTCCCCAGCGGAGGGGAGTGTGCACAGGACACAGGACACGGCCCACATGTCCGCTCACCCCACAGTGCGGAGGGAGGCTACCACGGCCACCCCCGCTGGCAGTCCAGAGCAGCTGCCCGGAACCCAAAACCCACCTGCATCCCCAACAGGTGGGCTGGCGACGGGACACTGAGGAGGGGCAGGGATCTCGTTGGGACAGGGCCGGCGCCCGGGGCGGCGTGGCGGCGAGGTAGGCACGGGGCCTAGGACTCCTCGCCCATCTGCAGCAGCGAGTTGACGGCCGCGTCCTTGTTCCCGCGCTGGGCCTCCAGCACCGAGCGGATCACCTCGCGGTCCATGTTGGGGAACATGTCCTGGATGGCCCTCAGGTCCTCCTCGTTACAGCGGGGCGGGGCGCTCACAGCCGCCGGGGGCAAGGCCACGGGCACCATGCCAGGGCTGCACACGGCAGGCATGCCTGCAACCCAAGACGGGGTTAGGAGGCGGTGAGCGACAGCGCCAAGGACGCCGCTAGCTCCAGAGCAGCCTGCGCCGAGCCTGCCCAGGGCTGGCCTCCCCAGGGCTCAGGGGCTCCGACCATGTGATCTGAGCCCCAGGACCCGGGAGAGGAGCGCACAGGATGGAGCCACAGACACGGCACGTGGCCCCTCCGCCTTGGGAAGCAGCTCCCCCACGGGCACACGAGGTGCTGGGAGCCCCTGGGGCTGGGGCTGGGGCTGGGCCTCACTGGGCAACGGGCTTTGCAGATGGGACCAGGGAAGCGGAACTCAGATGGGGTGGGGTGGTCTCTCACCCAACAACCCCCACCAGTTCCCTGCTCCTCTCCGGCGCCCCCAGATGCTGACCACTGCCCATGCTGGCCGTGCTCCTCGGCACAGTGGGGCGGCCAGCTCTGCTGGACCCAGCTCCCCGCACCTCGGCAGACAATGGGGCTCGCCCACTTCCCTTCTCCGGGGTCCGTCCCGCACTGCCCGCTGCCTGCGCCCAGATATGCCCCAGCAGAGGGAGCTGACCGGCAGCTAAAGCCAGGATTTTAAAATTAAAGACATAAGCTACGACGCCACTTGACGGGGGTGTGGGGTCCCAGACTGCTCACTTGTAAGGAACGGACACCCCCCAGACGGCGACAGTGTGGCGAGAGCACACGGTCACCTCACCCCACAGGAGTGTTAGGGCACTCGTGCTGAGACGTTTAAAAATTGCATTTCTGCATCTCTGCAAATTGCAACTCACCCTCCTTGTGCCAACAGCTAAGGAAAAGAAACCTGTTTCCTACACACACACAAAAGCCCAGGTGTAACACCTGACCCTCGCTTCTGGAAGGATCCTCATGCCTCACTCCAAGACCAGGCTAAGCCTCTAGGCCCCCCGCCCCAGGCCTACCGCCACCCCAGGAGCCACCCCGCAGGCACTCACCCGTGATGGGCACGTAGCCGACACCCTGCTGGTACACGGTGGGCATCAGGACCACGGGCTGAGGCGGCATCATCATGGTGGCAGGCATGGACTGCAACACACAAAGGTGGTCCCAGGGTCACGGCAGACCCCGCGCACCGAGCCCCTTCACCCGCAGCCCCTCCCACACGTCCTGGGAGTGACAGCCCAGGCCGCCGCCCGCCCTCCCCAGCGCCCCAGTGCTCCTGCTTCTCTGCTGAGGAGAGGGGAGTGAATGACTCGGGTAAAAATGTCGCCAGGCCTGCAGGACCGTGGCCAACTGAGATGTCACCGAGAAGACAGGTTCCAGAACACACTAAGAGGGAGCCGCGGGTCAGTCAGCCCCAGGACAGCTCCCGGGCGGCTCTAAGGTTTGAATTCTCCGTCAGCGTGAGAGCGTTTGCGTCTCCGCAGAGACAGCCGTTAAAGGTGCCTCAGGGTGCCTGGCCAGTGCGGCTCAGGGTTGAGCGTCCAGGAGGTCATGGTTAGATTCCTGGTCAGGGCACACGCCTGTGTTACGGGCTCCATCCCCAGTGTGGGGCGTTGCAGGAGCAGCCCCTCGTGTTTCTCTCCCTTCCTCTCTCAGCGCGCCGTGGGTGAGGGTAAAATAAAAAGGTGCAGAGGGAACACTCCGGAGTGAAGTTCTCCTGATGCGGGACTGGCTCTAAAACCGCTGCATCAGCCGAAACCGGTTTGGCTCAATAGATAAGAGCGTCGGCTTGGGGACTGAAGGGTCCCGGGTTCGATTCCGGTCAAGGGCATGTGCCTTGGTTGCGGGCATATCCCCAGTGGGGGGTGTGCAAGAGGCAGCTGATTGATGGCTCTCTCTCATCGATGTTTCTAACTCTATCTCTCTTCCTTCCTCTCTGTACAAAATCAATAAAATAAATAAATAAATAAATAAAAGAAAAATCTTAAAATAAAAATAAAAATAAAGCCGCTGCATCAGCGAAGGGACGGGCACAGCGAGGGCTGCCGCGCGGCTTTGCCCACTCGGGACCCACACCTGCTCTCGCGCCCGCCCGCTGGGCTTCTGCAGCAAAGGGACCAGGGCGTGAGACGCCTCCGGGAGGCGCGGAGATGGCAGGAGCCCAGAGGCTGACCCTGCCGTGAGCCACCATGGCCTCCGAGCCCCCAGCACCTCCGTGGCGGCTGCTGAGGAGGAGCCAGGCCCCGAGGTCTGGCCGGGCGGCCGGCCCTGCTGTCCATGGAGGGCCAGCACCAGCCCTCACCCTGCGGCCCTGGACAACCGCCACTGCATGGGGGCCCGCAAGGCCGCAAGGGGAGCCACACCTCCAGAGACGGCCCCAAAAGAGAAACAAAAATCAGAAATTAAAGAAGGTGGCCTCGATCCCGTGACTGGCCACCACACAGCACTGTTCCCGGGAGGATGCGTATCCGGCCGCCGCCCCGGCCCCGCCCGGGCTCACCGAGTAGGACATGACCAGGTTGATCATGCCCTCCTTGTCGTCGCCCTGCCGCCCGCTCAGGCAGTACCACTTGTCCTCCACCTCGCCCTGCCGCAGCGCCTCCGACAGCGTGATGTGCGTCCAGGCGATGCGGTCGTCCATGGAGAAGGCTCGCTGAGGGGCAGAGGGACACCAGCATGAGAGCTCCGAGCCCGCCAAGGGCTGCCCTCCCAGGCGGAAGCCCAGCACAAATGCAGGAAAGGAGGTGCCCTGGAGCTCACCGCACCCCAAGGGAGCGGAGGGGGGGTGAGGGCGGGGCAGAGGGCCCACTTCCCGCCGGGCTCCCCACCCTCACCCTCTGAGCTCGCCTGCTGGGCACCCTGGCTGACCTCAGGAGGGACCAGGAGAGGAAGAGCCCAGGCACCCTCTGCCGCCCCAGGACACCCGGTAGACGGCCTGCCACTCGCACCACCCAGAACCCCCTCCCGCCGGCCAGGCCCCCCCCCCCCCCCGCCTGCTCTGGGAGCACGCCCACTGCGGCGGGGCGCCGGGGCGGCCACCAGCGGCACTCGGCCTGCCCGCCCGCACCTCGTCGAAGATCTCCAGGTAGAAGGAGTCCACGCCGGGCGGCACGGTGCAGTGGATGACCTTGTTCCAGCGAGGGTTCTTGGCGCCGTTGTGGGCTGTGGGCGTCTCGTACACGGCGTAGCCCAGGCGCAGCCGGCAGTACGGGTCCATGCGGGTCATGCCGTAGTTCTTGGCCAGCTTGGCCTGAAACAAGCCAGTCAGGACAGCCGGAGCCGCTCCAGGGGGAGCGCCGGCGCCCGGTCGTCCGCCCTCAGCGCGCCGCTCCGACCCGGCCCGAATCCGGCCCGAATCCAGCACCGCTCCGACCCGGCCCGAATCCCGGCCCGAATCCCGGCCCGAATCCAGCACCGCTCCGAGCAGCGGAGAGCGTTCCCGCAGGGGCCGCCCGCCGGCTGCGAGGAGGCACATGGCACCGTGCCCGCGGGCGTGATGGACAGCGCGGCCGGAGCGCGGTCTCCAGCCTCCTCAGCAGAGGGTGGAGAGGCGGGCTGCCGGGGACAGCGCCCGGAGACCGGAGAACAAGGGCACGAGCCTGGACGAGTGGGGTCTCCAAAGCCAGCTGCACCCAACGCAGCGGCCCTGCCTCCCTGCAGGGGGCGCTCTCCCAGGAGCCCAGCCTGGAGCAGACTGACTGGGCGGGGGAGGGGTGCACTTTAGGCAGAAAACACACAGTCCTGATGAGCAAGACAGGCTTGGGGGGGTGGGTCCCCGCCACGGGATTTGCCCCAGGAGGGTTACAGGCCCACACGTGAGACCTAAACCAAACTTCTGTGGTCTTGGCCTGGGCAAACCACGCCACCGGGACCCGGCCGGGCTGAGGACGCCAGCTCTCCGAGGGAGACGGCGGCGGAGAGAGATCGCGGGGGCCCAGGTCTGGTGAGGAGCCTGGGACCCAACCCCCAGATCTCAGCACAGACCCGGCCCGTGGCTGGCCCAGGTCTGCAGAGGGAACCTGACACAGAAACGCTCCCTGGAAGGCGACTCGCCCCGGGGACAGCGGAACCACCCCGCCCAGAGCAGTGGGTGCTGGCCGGGTGCACAGAGCAGCCAGCAAACGAGATGGACAGCGAGCCCCAGGCGGGAGCTGAGCTCCCAGGATGGCGATGTGGGCTCAGCGGGCGGGGGCTGGAGAAGGGAGCGCCATGCTCCGTCTGCAATGCCCGCCAGACGTCCCGGGAGAGGCCAGGGACCGGGCCATGTGGGCAGTGAGGAGGGGCTGGCTGGGACTGAGCACACGTCGCTGCCCCGGCCCAGGACCAGGGCACGGCCTGTGAGCCCCGGGGATGAGGTCTGCCAAGAGGAAGTGGGAAGCCGTGGGCGGCACTACCGAAGGCCAGGTGTGGAACTGGAATGTTTCTAACCGCGGGGCCGCCCCGGGGCCTGGTGCTGAGTGGAGGGTGCAGCGGCTGCGGCCCTGTAGTCCGTGGAGCCTGCGGGAGGCAGCGCTCCGCTCCAGCAGGGCATGCCCTGGTCCCAGGAGGCACCGGAGGGGAAGGGTGCGAGGTGCACCGCGGCTGCGACCCCCAGCACTGAGGCTGAGTGTGTGCCTCAGAGCCCCTGGCGCGGACAGCAGGAGGGAGCGGAGGGAGCCATCCCTGGCCCTCTGCGCCTGCCCCCCCCCCCCCCGCCCTGAGGCCCGGAGACTGGCCTGTGCCGGGCTGCTGACCGCTCCTCAGTAAGCGCTGCAGGACTCAGGCGGGCTCCGCACACGCGTCCTTTCCCAGCGCGCCCTCGGAGAAGAGCCGTGGTGGGCACAGAGCCCGGCCCGCACGCACCTGCACCACGGTGATGTTGAGGCGGTCCACCGTGCCCAGCGCCCCGCCGTACTGCAGCTGCTGGGCCGCCTGCGCGTCCAGCTGCACCTGCTGCTGCTGCTGCGTGGGCGCGATGCGCAGGAAGTCCTGGGGGAGCTCCCCGATGTACACCTGCGGGGACAGGAGTCAGGCCGCCGGGCAGCACCGGCGCCCAGCTACGCGGCCGTCTCTTCGCCTGCACGGCGAGGCCCGGGCCAGCGGCGCCGGGCACACCAGCTCCCCAAGAGCAGGAGGCCGCCCGAGTGCCGGCTCGGACGGGCTCGCCGCTTTTGGGTCACAAGCTGTCTACCGTGACTCGTTCTCGCCGGCCACTCCCACCACAAGCGAGGCCTGCCACTGGCAAGGCACTGCTCCACGCCGCCCAGACCCCAGTGCCTGGGAAGACCTGCAGGGACGCCCTCTCCAGGGAACGAAAGCCGCCACTCCTTCCGCCGCCCGCCCAGGCGGCCCACAGGACGGCCCCATGCGGCTCGGCCGCACAGCCTCTCGCAGGCCTAGGGGCGGCCACGCAGAGCCAGCCCAGGGCGGACCTCCTGGCCGCCTCGGTTCCCTCCCTGCAAGGGGCCCCGGGAAACGATCTCCCCTCAGCGCCCACCCCCAGGGCCCTTAGCGTGGAGGCCGCCGGCCCTAGCCCCCGTCCACTGGCGCTTCCTCCGTGAAGAGCAGTCACTCTGACACAGTCATTTGTGCAGCACAGTCCGGTGTGCGTTACTATGTAACACAGCAAGCCACACGATGGGCAGCACGTAATAGAAAATTTAAAAACTCGCTACTTTTCCACAGAAGTAAAGCAGCTGAAAAAATTCTTAAATACCTTCAGTGAGCTTAACTTTAAACCTTTGTTTGCTTAGAGAAAATACTTAAGTAACTTCTAGATGTTTTTTTAGCCCTTGAAATAGCTAGTCCCGGGGTGAGTAACTCCTGTGGAATTAAAAAATAAAATGCAAGTCCATGGCGGTTCGGCCGTGAGCTCACGGTGACGTGGTTCCCGAGAAAACCGCAGCAGCGGCGCCTGAGGAACAAAGCCCAGCGGCCGGAGCAGGGGCCAGCAGCGCCCGTGGGGATGCACAGCGAGGGCTTCAGGGCCCGCCCCCGGCCCACGGATCACACGCTCAGGCCCACGTGACTCACAGCTGGAGCAGGAGGAGAGCGGGCCGGGCGAAGCCTACAGGGCAGAGGGCACAGCAAAACAGGCACCAGCTCCCGCCAGCCACTGTGGACCTCGGGGGAGCCAGCAGCTCCCGGGAGCCCACACCGGGGAGGAGCCCGCACCGGGGAGGAGCCCGCACCGGGAGCACAGCAGGGCCTGGAGAGAGCCGAGCCCCTGGGGCCTGAGGAGGCTGCCCTGCTGGAGGCCCTGTGAGGACACTGGCTACCAGTGACCCAGGGCCAGGAGACATGGCCTTGTCCAGCCGACGACCACAGGAGGGGCCGGGAGTGGACGTGCTGAGTCCGAAGGCGGCGGCGGGTGGACCAGGACAGACACGGGGACCGGGGCACCCAGGCGCTGTGCCGGCGGACTGCACCTCTGCAGGGCGGCTGCGGGGAGCGGGGCCCGCGCCGGCCCCAGCGCACCGGGAGGGAGGCTGCCTGTGGCCCTGCCCACGCGGCCCCAGGGCTTCCCTGGACGAAGAGGCTGATGGAAGGCTGAGGTCAGGCCACTGTAGCCCAAGAAACACGTAACAGACCCTGGTGGAGGCCAACGCACGCTCGGCCCCCGCACGGTCACTAACGTTTTGCTGTAAGTTCCGCATCTTCCCAAATCAACTTAGGAGGAAACTGCGCTTCTTCACAACACCGGCCTCCCACTCCACGTGGGACAGCGGCCCGACCCTGGTCAAGTCACCTCTTCCTCGCACCGTCCTTCCCCTAGTCTCCCGGGAGGACGGCGGCCAGGAGACAGCTGGAGCCAGGGGCGGGCTCGGCACCTGACTGCCGGGTGTGACAGCAGATGGACCAGCCGGGCGAGTGTGGCGAGTGGGTGTGCCGAGGCAGAAGGACCTGCTCTGGAGGCAGAGCCGCAGGGCCTCCTGAGGGTGGAGGAGGCAAGGCCGTCTAAGGCCTCTTCCTCTCTCTCCCTGGGACCCTGCGTCACTCCTCTATCAGGGGGCAGAGGCAGTGGTCAGTCCCCAGTGAGTGAGCCCAGCTCCGGGCTCCCTGGGCCCCGCTGAACTCCCGATGTGGGCAAGGCGGGCTCACCCTCAGGCTGCTGCCCAGCCAGGGCCCGGCTCGGAGCGCCGCCCAATGCCGCCTTTACGGCACTCGCTGGTGTGGCGGCTCCTCTGTGGCCAGTCCAAGCGCCTGGCTACGCCTGCACCACCCTCCCGGTGCCCGGCACACAGCCACGGTGCCCAGGCGAGCAGAGGGTCTCCCACCCGCCTCTGCCAATGGCAAAGCGTCCTTCCAAGTGCTGCTTAGCCCACGGGGCGTGGCCGGCTGGAGAGGTGGCAACTACCGAGGGTGTGTGCCAGGCAAACGCTTTTTAAAAAGCTGACTGTGGTCACTAGATAGAGCACCATTTGCCGCCCACGGGGCCTCCCATCTGGAACGGCCCTGGCCACGCCTGCTGCTCTCCTGGGGCCCAGCAGTGCTCAGGGCCTTTCCGGGCCTTCCCGTCAAACAACTTCAGCTCGTCCCTCAAGTGTCAGCTCCTCCAAGAACCTGACTCACCCGGCCCAGGCCGCCGCTCACACGGGGCTAAAACCCACACATGCAATGGCGACCACCCTGCGTGGCTCCTGTGTGCAGTCAAGAGCCGCACTGTAAGGTCCCTCACTGCGTCCTGCTGCCCAAAGCAGCTGCCAGAGTCACTCCCGCTCCATGGCACCCAGACCCCTACCCCCGAGGGGACCCCTGCAGCCCCAGCAGCTCTGGCCCTGACCTACGGTTCCTGCCCGTTCACAGGCCCGGGAACGTGCGGTCTGTGCACCGCAGCACATGGACCCCCGGCCGCGGCCCCGAACGGAGACCAGCGGAAGGCAGAGGGCACGTGGAGGCCGCCTGGACAGCACAGGGCCACACGCCTGTCTGCACACGGGTGCCCCACTCCCTGCTGAAGTGTCAGGGGCTTCCGCTCTGTGCAGTCAGAGCCGACTGCCCCCCAGGATGGCGGCTGCCGCAGGGGAGGGGGGGACCCACGGGCCGGGGGACGCTGACAGCCAGGGAACCGGGCCTTGGCCAGACCATCGCGCCTCTGTTGGGCGCACAGACCAGGGAGCCCTGCTCTGGCGGCCTCGCCGCTAAGGGGGCCCAGAGGCTGCGGGCGGTCACCCCGCTGCCGGCCAGGAGAGGAGGGAGGAGGGCAGGACCTGAGCGGCCGGGTCACTACAGCGCCCGGTGCGGAGGCCCGTCACCGCCCCGGAGGGCAGGCGAGAGGGTCCGCGCGCTGCTCGCCGGCGGGGGTCCCGGGCGCGCGGCTGCCGCTGCGGAGGCCGCCTTCCCGCTCGTGACCGTGACCGCCGGCGCGCCCGGGCCCAGCTCCCACCTCGCTCCCGCGCGGCCTCCCGCCTCCAGGGCAGCGGCGCGGCGGCCCGCTGGGGGCCTTCCCCATCCGGGGCCCGCGGGGCCGGGCCTCTCCCATCCGGGGTACAGACTTGGAGTTCCGGATGCGGCCCTCCGGGAACCCGCCGGGGCGCAGAGCCCCCTCCATCCGGGGACCACCCAGGCCCCGGGCTCCGCAGCCCGGCGCGCCCCGCCTGCGGCCCGCTCGCCGGCCGGGAGCGCGGGACCCGCACGGCCGCCCGCCCGCGCCCAGGGGGGAGCCCGCCGCCGCCCGGAGGCTCACCGGCCCGCGCTGCGTGCTGACGGTGGTCGCCATGGTGCCCGCCGGCCGCGCCTCGCCCGCCGAGAACCGACAGGCCGGCGATCTCCCCTCCGGAGTCCGCGTCGCCGCCAACGGTCGTCCCCGCGAAGCCTCCGCCGCGCCAGTCAGCTGACGGCAGCCCCGCCCCCGCGCCGCGCACCGCCCCTTCCGGCGCCGCCGCCCCGCCCCTTCCGGCGCCGCGCGCTCCCGGCCGCGCCTGCGCAGTCGCTCCCCGCCGCCGCCCGCTGCGCGCCGGCTACCTGGTCCTGGGCTCCGCCCGAGCCCGGCCTCCCGGTGCCCGGGGCGCGACGGTGTAGCCGGAGAACCAGGTCGCAATGGCCCTGCGCTGTTTGGAGCGAGACACCGAATTGCTTTTCAGAGACAAAAGCCAAAACTCCAAGTGATGCACCGGAAGCAGCGCCTAGGAGAGACCTTTGACCTCTAGCTGCACTCGGGGCCGAAGGATGCCCGGTCCTTCCCGCGGGACGCAAAGCCAAACGCAAAGGGAGCTTGACCTCGGAAACCCCACGGGGAGGGCGAAAGCGTGGCGGCTGTGCAGCGGGATCCGTGTTGAAGGCCCTCCCGCTACCCCATGCCCTCCTCGCCTCCCTGCACCTGCTCCAGCCCCAGCCCTGGGCCACTCAGCATTAAATGAACCGCTGTTTTATTTTTTAAAATATATTTTATTGATTTCTTACCGAGAGGAAGGGAGAGGGATAGAGAGAAACATCGATGAGAGAGAAACATCGATCAGCTGCCTCTTGCACACCCCCTACTGGGGATGTGCCTGCAACCAGGTACATGCCCTTGACTGGAATCAAACCCGGGACCTTTTAGTCCACAGGCCAAGGCTCTATCCACTGAGCCAAACCGGTTTCGGCATGAACCGCTGTTTTTAAAAAACCATGTCATGGTGTGGGGGCAGTTAGGTGGATGGGCAGGTACAGGTCACCAGGGTGGAAGCCCAGGTGCCTAGCCAGGGACCATCCTCTGTAGAGTGGGACCTCCCCAAGGTGTTCTTTCCTGCCCCAGCACATCCTGGCCATGGCCTGCGGTTGGGACCCCCTGACCGCTGCTCCCTAAGATAACATCTGGGCTTCAGTTGTATCTGAGCTCCAGGTCCAGACCCAGCAGCAAACCAGCCCCGGCTGAGGTCAGAGGTCAGGGCTGCCGCCCGGAGTAAGGCCCCTGCCCTGGTGCCCAGTCAGTCAGGAGACCGCAGCCCTCAGGGGGCACCTGGAGCTGCTGCCCAGCAGGCTACTGAGTCCTCCCCTGGGGCCGCCCCTTAAGCCCTTCAGAGGAGACCCCGTGCCTCTCCCTCCCGGCAGCAGCCTGGGCCTTCCCCTCTGCCGCTCCCTGCCTGCCCCAGGCACATTACCTTTGGCTTCCTCTATCCCAAACTCCGAGGGCCTTTTCCTTTACCTGAACAACTTGTTTCCTCAGCCCGTTCCTTCCAGGAATTACTTCTCCTGCCTCTGATTTTCCAAATAAATGTCCTCTTACCGTTTGGGTTTTGACTCTGAATTCTTTGCCAGCACCGAGGCCGCTGAACCCAAGGTTCGGGTGACCCCACCGGTCCGGCTCCTGGTGCCAGCCCCACCCCTTCAGCCACGGTGTCGGTTCCTATGTGCTTCGGCCATGGAGCCCTGAAAGGGAACACAGTCCTCAGACTGAGGGTGGGCTTTCCCAGAAGCCCCCGGGGCCAAGACCCCCTGGCTGGGAGGGTGGCCTGGGTCTGGGGCCAGCAACTATCAGGCTCTGGACACGGGAACCGGGACAACGGACCACTGAGCTGGACCAAGGGCAGCGCCAGTGTCTCGGGAGGAAGTTCTCTGCCTTGGAGTCACGCTCCAGTGCCGGGGAAGGGGACCTGATCGCAGCCACAGGTGCACGCCCCCTGCAGGCGGACCTGGCGGGTTGAGAGGCCGAAGGAGAACCAAACAGAAGGCATCAGGCTGACGGTTACCTTAGGCCCGAGGTCGGCAAACTCATTAGTCAGCAAATGTCAACAGGACAACGATTGGAATTTCTTTGGAGAGCCACATTCTTTAAACTTAAACTTCTAACGCCACTTCTTCAACATAGACTCGCCCGGGCCGTGGTGCTTTGTGGAAGAGCCACACACAAAGAGCCGCATGTGGCTCGCGAGCTGCAGTTTGCCGACCATGGTCCTAGGCGATATGCACTGTGGAGTGTGGCTACAGCGTTTGGACAGGTTCAAGCCTCGGACTGACGAGAGGGCACGGTGCTCTCGTGGCAAAGCCACGGGCAGGTTCCAGCGTGGAGGGCAGAGCCCTGGCAGCCCAATGACAGCCAACGGCTGTGGCTGTCAGCTTGGTCCGAACCTGTGGTCCCAGGTGGCTGAGGGGTGTGGGCTGCGGGAGGCGCGGCAGGTGCTGCCGAAACAAGGCTGGGTGGAGGTCAGGTGCATGGGATTGAGTGGATTGGAAACCAGAGGACGTTGTAAACATCGTGAGCAGGCTGGGGCGCTGTCTCTCCATCTGAGAGCAGCGTCCCCCCAACCCCAGCTGTGTTCTCTGGTCTGTCTGCGTTAGCCCTTCACCACCCCCACCCCCAGGCTCACCCCTGGCCATACAGCACGACATACACACGTGGGTGTGCCTGTGCCCTAATAAACGTCCCCCGAGGACTCCAGCAGTGAGTGTGATGTGATTGGCATGTTGATGGCTCTGTGAGAGAGGCCAGGGCCGTGGCTGCCTGGCTTGTCAGGGGTGTGAGGGGAAAAGGGCCATGACAGAGCCCTGGTCTGAGATGCTGTGAGCCCTAAACGGGCTCAGTTACCATCCCGCTCCCCACAGTGAGGAGGCCGCTGGGTGGGCTACTGAGGGTGAATGGTTTGCTGCGCAGCGGATGGTGGGGGGGCCCTGTAGGCACAGGAACGGGGCTCTTCTCTCTGGGGTCTGGAGGTGACCTGCGACCCCCCCTCCCTCAGGCACTGCTTTAGCTGCTTCCCACGGAACAGGACAAGACCAGTTCCTGTCTGCATTTAGTTTAATCCTCGCCTGAGGACATCTCCCATTGATTTTTAAAGAGTGGAAGGGAGGGGAAGAGCAAGAGGGGAGCATCCATGTGACAGAGACACTGATTGGTTGCCTCCCACATGCGCCCCGACCAGTGCCAGGGATGGAGCCTACAACTGTGGTACTTGCCCTTGGCCGGAATCGAACCCAGGACCCTTCAGTCTGCAGGTCGCTACTCTATCCACTGAGCCACACCGGCTCTGGCTCTCCATTCGGCTTAAGATACTGCTTAGTTTCCCCTGTGGTGCATGGGTTATGTAGTTTCCAAATATTTGAGAGGGAAGGGAGGTTCCAGATACCTTTTTATTATTCCTTGTTTTCCTTTTTAAAATTATTACTAATTTCTAACATAACCTCATTTTGGTTGGAGAACACAGTTTGTGCCATTTGCACGTTGTAGACTGTTCTCTGGCCCAGAATCCGGCCATTTGGTGCCTGTCCCGTGGCCACTCCAGAAGCCTGCCCACGCACGCAAATGTCAGGCCCCCCCACGCAAGCACTTCATTCCCGGAGCGCTGTCTGTCCTGTGGGTGTGGAGAGAGGGGGTGGGGACCCCCCCACCACAGTTGTGGTCCCATCAGCTCCTGCCCCACGTATTCTGGGGCTCTGTCGACTGCTGTACAAACTTTTATTTTTTTAAAATATATTTTTATTGATTTCGGAGTCGAAGGGAGAGGGAGAGAGAGAAGCTTTAACAACGAGAGAGAATCACTGATTGGCTGCCTGCGGCATGGCCCCCACAGAGATCAAACCTGCACCCCGGCATGTGCCCTGACTGGGAATCCAACTGTGACCTCCTGGTTCCTAGGTCGATGCCCAGCCCCTGAGCCACACTGGCCGGGCCTGATGCCAGCACCTGCAGAGCGGCTCTTGCCCTGCCCGTGGCTTGTGAGATGCATGCCAGCTGCTCTGCAAACACCTCCCTGTGCCCCTGCTGCTCGGCGTCCCGCAGGGTATCCCCCGGGGCTCATTACGCCCTGCCCACACAGGAGTAACTGGCTGCCCGCGGAGCTGCACAAACACCGGGGCAGCCAGCACTCCCTGTGGGGCGCGGTAGGCCAGCCCCCCCCCCCCCCCAGACTGCTCAGGCCCCTCCCTTCCTCACGTTCACGGCCTGACAACGGAAAGCCGGTCTCCTCGTGTGGCCTGTGCCGGCCCGGGGGAATTCGAGCATCCTTCACGTACTGCCGAGCTTCGGGCTCCCGGTGAAGGGCCAGTTCACACCACGTGTCCATTCCCACCGCTGCCCTTTCTCCTGGGACCTGTGGGAGGGGCTGAGGTCAGGAACCACCTGTTGGGGTGGAGGCTGGGCCTGCCACCCCTCACTGCCTGCTCCCTGCATCGGGCATGAGCAGCAAGGGCGTGCACGCCATCGGGGTGCTGTGCCTGAATGAGATGGCCCGTGCAAGGCGCTCAGAGCAACCCTCGGCACCGACCCAGCCCCCGGAAGGCCTCTCACCACCATCACCTTTGGAGCATCCCGAGGAAGAGGCACCAGAACACCTGTCTGGGGCCTGGGCACATGAGGGTGTCCGGTGAGTCCTGGGACCTGTGTGCCCTCTTCTGAGCTGAGACCTGGACACGGGTCGAGCCCACAGTCCTGATCAGGAATTGAACCATGACCTCCTGGTTCATAGGTCGACGGTCAACCACTGACCCGCGCCAGCCCACTACCTTCTTGATTTTATTTTCTAAAAAGCTAGTTTTCTAAAAAAATTTTTTATTGATTTCAGAGAGGAAGGGAGAGGGAGAGAGACAGAAACATCAATGGTGAGAGAGAATCGTTGATCGGCTGCCTCTTGCATGCCCCACACTGGGGGTTGACAGAGCCTGAAACCTGGCATGTGCCCCGATCAGGAATGGAATTGTAGGTGGACGCTCAACCACTGAACCTCACCAGCGGGGCCCCTATGTCTATTCTTTTTTTTTTTTTTTTTTTTTTTTTTTTAATATTTTTATTGATTTCAGAGTTGA